CTTACAGACATATAATTATATGTAACTGTCCGGCTCTATAATAAGAACCTACTGTTATCAAAATTGATTCAATCTGAGTTAAATCAAACTCAAACCAAGCTATTAAATTGCTTTTGAAAATTTTCTAGACACATTTTGAAGATCAAAACGAATGTCGATTCTAACGAGTCTAACTCAAATTGAGCTTCTTGATAAGACAAATTCAACGAGCCCAAGATTCCTCAATTTCAACATCATTAAGACACTCAAATATTCATCAACTATCGTCTAATTAAAAGGAGCACTCCGAGTCGTCCGATCAAAGCGATTCATATTTCTGCATTTATTGCACATACAATTTTATAAATAGAGCCACATTCTTTTCAAGAGGGGGGAGGAAAGCTTGAGGCTTGAGAAAGAACTTGAAGCTTTGAGAGGGTCCAACACCACTCCTACCGCCGTCGATTCCCGTCAACCGCCATCGACCACCGAAGATCATCGTCGACCACTGCTGACCTCTATCAACCACCGTCGACCTTCATCGCCCACCAACCATCGCCGACTGTCGTCGACAACCGTTGACACCCGACTGTCGTCGACCACCGCTGACACCCGTTGACCAACGCCAATTTCTGTCGACCATCGCCGACCCCTGTTGACAACCATCGACCAATGTCGAGCACTTTTGTCGCCATCGACTGCCACTGATCGTCGTTGACAACCACCGACCGTCATCGAGCACTCATGTCACCGCCAACCTCCGTCGACCACCACCGACCGGGCGCCGCCAATCGCTATCAGTCGCCGCCCATCGACGTTGTAACTTGGAACAAGTAGGACAAGTTATTGTAACTGTAATCATCTTTTTATAGTGTCACTCTTCAACTGGGTCAGACATCATTGTTTTCTTCTTTACGAGTTTTCCACATAAGAACTTCTGTTGTCATTATTATTAGTTGCTTCACTTTTTTGAGTGTGTAATGAATCCTTATACCACACTAAGATAATATTATGCTATTCTGCTGCCACGTATTTTTCGGGAGACAACAATGCTATTAATGTTATGATATTTTGAGTGTGAAAATTTCCAAATGATTGACTTGGCCGTTAATCTTATCATGAAAAGAGAATCGATGACCTCTTTTAAGTTAGTTAACTATGATGAATGATTAACTTATATTTTTCTATTTAAACATCCTATGATTTTTATTATAATATAATTTAACACGCTTTATTCTAGCTATTAATTTATTTTTTTAATTTTTACTCAACCAAAATCCACTCAAAATAAAGAAAAAATGATGATTTTTATTATATATTATTTGATATTAGGAAAAAAATCAATTGACATAAATTTATTCTGTAATTTCAAAATGCATAATATCGATTGGTTTTTTTTTGGTTTTATATATACTTTTATTATAATAATAATAATAATTATTATTATTTTAATATATAAAGTTGTTTAACTGCTTAATGCTACATAATTTTTACTTTATCCATCCTTCACCTTTACTATTATAGTATTTTTAAATATTTGTAGCATTAAATATTGAGGTTGTTTTCCGAGTCTTAAAAAATCTACCCCGCCTTGTTAGTTGATTTCCACTTGCTCTATTTTGGGAGAAATTACTGCATGTGGTGATCGCGTGATTGGACTACGGCTTGGATGGGCCGTCATGGATCACAATGTGGCTACATTCGGATGGTCAAAATATCTTTCATGTCATGATCGCAATGTGGCCACATCCAGACAGATGGACGTCGGACGTGCGACCAGCCACTACTAATGATTTTTCATGGAAAAAAAAACACCTCACCAAATGCAATATATTGTAGAAGTAATGTATTGTATGTGAAATATTTTAGAGCTAATTAATAAATGCAAAATGGAATATTTTATGTTTGATTTGAACTTAAACTAAAAACAATATAAAATACATTGACAAGAACCACTGGGTAGTCGGCTTGAAGGGAACTAAAGGTGGCCAATGACTGACAGCTAACAGAGGTGTTTGGTGATAACGATTTACAACAGGCGGTGGGTGACAACAGTCGGCAACAACAATGACGACGGGCAGCGTCGACAGGTACTCGTATGGCCACAATGACAGCCAATAGCACTTTACGTAAAATTGTGAATGTAGAATTCACTCAAATCCAACGAAGTAATCGACCATCGCCGTTGACAACCATCGACCGCCGTCAACCACTCCTGTCGTCATTGACCACCGCATGCCATCTTCGACCACTGCTGACCGCCGCTAAGTACTTCTGTTGTTGTCGACCGCCGCAGACCGTTGTTGACCACCATTGACCTCGTCGAACACTTCTGCTGTTGTAGCCTAACGCTGATCGTCGTCGACGGCCACTGACCGGATGCCTTCAATCGCTATTGGTCGCCTCTCGTTGACATTATAAATGTTGTGAGATATACACCAGTTGATGTGTTATATATATAAATCAAATAGGAGAACGATCTTTGACGGAGCGAAAATAGAGCGAGCAAATTCACACCAGAAAACAGTAACACAGCGGAACACACAGATTTACGTGGTTCGACAGATTGCCTACGTGCACGGAGTTGCAGAAGATTTTACTACTTGAGGAATTTACACCAATCGATCGTCTCGACTTACAAGAGGAATCTCTCACTTAGTTGCACTCTCTTCTTCTCTCTCTGTTATTCTCTCTCTACACTGAGATACATCGAAGAAACTCTACACCAACATACATCGAAGAAGACAAACTTACAAGAGAAATAAACCCAATTTCTCTTTTGCCACAAGCCACCAAGACGAAGCCAAGGGAGAACAATCTTCTTCTTCATTCTTTCTTCCTTTGCAAAGCACACACACTGCTTGCACTTCTCTTTCTCTATCCCGAGGAAGCCCTTCCACTATCCCGTGGAAGTTCGAAGAAAAACTCAAATGGGTTGCACTGTGACTTAGCGCTAAAGGAGAGCCACACGAAACTTTTATAGCAAAACAACAGAATTCACGAATGTGGAAGCAGGAGGAGAGGGAACATGTATCACGACAGAGGGAAAACGGGATCGTGACGTTTCGCGGGAGTCGGGAGGAGGGACGGGATCGGGCTCCAACACAACAACAACTGGGAAAACTATTTACACTTTCCTGCCTATAAGATAGATGGTTGCAATTGTAATCAGCTTTTGATAGTGAAACTTTTCAGGTGGGTTAGAACCTTTGATTTTTCACTTTTCAGGTTTTTTACATGAAAATTTATTAGTTGCTTTCTCTTTTTTCAATATATGTTGAATCTTTATACCAAGTTAAAGTATTCTATTGTCACAAATTTTCTAGCACTCATCACTAATATTACTCTTACGATATTTTCAGTGAGAAAAATATCAAGGGATTGACTTGGCCGCTATTCCTATCATGAAAAGAGAATGGATGACCACTTCAAGTTAGTTACTATGATGAATGATTAGCTTATATTTTTTATTTAGAAATCCTAAGATTTTTATTATAATTTTATTTTTGACGCTTTATTCTAGCTATTAATTTTTTTCTTGCTCCACAAAAGTCCACTCAAAATAAAAAAAAAGTGAAGACCACTTTCATCATATTTTATTTTTAGTATATTATTTGATATTAGGAAAAAATCAATCCACATAAATTTATTCTCTACTTCCAAAATACGTAATATCAATATTTAAGTTAATGGCTTTCTTGGTTTTATTTATACATTTATTATTAATATTATTATTATCATCATCTAGAAAGTTGTTGAATTGCTTAATGCTATATAATTTTTTTGCTTTATTGTTCCTTCACCTTCACTATTGTCATATTTTCGAATAATTTTAGCATTAAAATAAGGAGGTTATTTTACAAGTCTTTAAAGATCTGCGCGGTCTTATTATATGTGGTGATCACATGTTCCAATGATGTTTGGATGGGCCACTGTAGATCGCAATATGGCCGCATCTGTACAATTCAGATAAACAGACTTGCAATCAGCCACACATAATATTTTTCATGAAAAAAACACCTCTTCGAAAGAATCGGCATGCTCTCTCTCCCCATACATCCTCCAACTATTATTATTATTTTTATCATTAAATAAAAAGGATATTAGTATGATTTAGAAGTAATGTGTTCTATTTGGAACATTTTAGAGCTCTTTAATTCATGTGTAAAATAAATGCAAAATATTTTATGCTTGATTTGACGTAAAATAAAAATAACATAAAATATAATGACAAGAACGAGCGGGTAGTCGACATGAAGGGAACTGAAGGTGGCCGATGGCTGGCAAGTAACAGAGGTGGCTGGCACCAACGACTCGCAACAGGCGATAAGTGACAACAGTCGGCAAAAAAAATGACGACGTGCAACATAGAGAGGTAGTGGTATAGCCACAACGGCAGCCAATACCACTAATATTAACCTGTTTAAAGTGAAATGCACCTTTTAATGTATATTTTTGATGTGATTATGACACTAAAGTTTTATGTATAAAAATATCTACATTTAGGTGTTATATATGTAAATATATAAAAAGTACGTGATATGCATGCAATTTTCTCAATAAATAATTGGATTAATTCAACGTTCGTTGAGAAAAGTGCTAAAATGTAGGAGTAATTTTTTTCTTTTGATCAAATTTAATCTACTTCGGGTTAGAATGGAAATCTAAATGACATTGTATCTGGACCATATAAACTGTTATTAGAATCATCTTACACAAATCGTAGATGTCCCTAGTTTTCTTGATTGAAGAATTTTTGAAGTGGATCAAGTTAATCCAAATTAAACTGCTTATTTATAAGAATTGACTAGCATATATGTCAAATTTTAATTTAAGTATTTGAAATGTAAATGTATAATAATCGAGTGGTCTATATGTAAAAATTAAAGTTTAGGTAAATAAAGTATCAGCTGTAAATTAATTTTTTAAAGTTAAAGGACGCCGATTCTTCGCCGGAAGCAATTCCCACCATCACGCACTCTGCCATCACCCATGGATTATAAATCTCCCTTTCACGAATTGTGCGAGTAGTACCAGAACAGCTACTCGACTGCACCTCTCTTAAAATTCCAATTCATTGCCGGGCGCTTCTGAGATCGCATTCCCAGGCCCGTCTGGCAATTCAGATCTCCGGCAACTAATGGGGAAAGAAGAGATTGTGGTTCCAGTGATAGATCTAGCCAACTTCCCCACTGAGCTGGAGAAACTTTCTGCCGCAGCAACCAAACTGGGCTGCTTCAGGGTCATCAACCATGGCATCCCCCTGTCGCTTCTGGCCGATATGAAGGATACAACCCGATCACTGTTCCAGATCCCCGAAGACCTTAAGCTTCGCAACGTCACCCAAAACTTGTTGGAAGGCGGCTACGTTCCCCTTAACTACATACCTGAAATTCCCTTTTTCGAGTCATTCGGCATCCACGACGCCTCCTCACCCGCCGACGTCCACTCTTTCTGCTCCCTTTCCAACGCCTCGCCGCACCAACGGTATGCTCTGCTTACATACACCTCAAAATTAACTTTTTACTCTTTTAACCAGGACGAACATTTATGCACGCATGCATGCAGCGAAATTATCACCGATTATTTCGAGAAACTCCATGCGGTAATGATGGATATAGCTTCCAGAGTAGCAGAGAGCCAGGGCTTGGTTGGCTACTCCTTCAAGGAATGGCCTTGCCACTCAAGATTAAACTCTTACAAGTTTAGCTCTCAGGATATTGGTCGTTTCGGCCTTCCCCTTCACACCGACTCTTCTTTTATGACCGTCTTACAAGATGATGACAGCGTTCAGGGGCTTGAGATCTTGGATACTAACGGCACCTTTATCTCCATCGATCCTGTTCCTGGAACCCTCTGCGTCATCATAGGTGACGTCGGAAAGGTAATGATTACATTCTTTTTGTTTCAATAATTGATGTCTTATTTCGTAAAAATGCACGGTTTGACAAATGGATTAACTAAATTAAATGGCTAATTGTGAAGGCATGGAGTAATGGAAGACTGCAAAATGTGAAGCACAGGGTGGTGTGCAAGAAAGCCTTGCCACGAATCACCATCTCTCTGTTTCTGCTGGCACCTAAAGACGACAACATAGAGGCTGAACCCGCGTTTATTGATGCTGATCACCCCAAGCTTTACCAGAACTATATTTATAGTGAATATCGCAAGCAGACAATAGTAACAGGTCTTAGAGCGGGTGAGATGCTATCCCTTCTGCAAACATAGATATCGATTCAATCCTCACATCCATGTCTGCGTCTTGAAACAAATATGTAATTTTTTTCTATATTTAACTTTTATGTGTGTGTGCGCGTGTGAGCTTCTGGTTGGATATTGTTGTGATATTCTCTGCCTTGTAAGATTCTTATTATTTGTTTTGAATTAGAACCCATCAAAAGAAATATTTAATGATATTGTTAAAAGATTTTGATGTGTTTTGCAAATGAAATTTAATTTATTAAACTAAACTTATAGAAAAAAGTAATAATACACATATAAATAAAAGCTTTTCTCACATAATAAGACTGTGTTATCGTGCAGAGTCCGAATTACCGTAATTCGACGGATAGCTTGTTCCTTGATGAGGAAGCCCTTCAAAATGCTTTGTTGATTACGTATGGGCAATTTGTAGGCCTTGATGAGGAATCAACGGGACACTAGTGTGACATCTCACGATGCTGAACTCTTACTTTCAATTGGGGTGTGCCGAGAGGCAAGTCAATGCCTCTACTCGGTTTAGTGAGCCTTAATACTTGGCTTGAATGACCTGTATTTAGTCGGTCTATAGCCACAATTTAGAAGAGGTGTTCCTGGTTAAGTGAGTCATTTGGTCTTCTACTAGTGGACTCTCCTCCTTAGTTGAACTTTCCTGTCTTTTTTCTGTTAAATCTCCTCGAGATTCGTGCTAATGTGTTTCATATGCACATAAATAATTGTCATAGTCTTAATATGATATTAAAGATTTGAATGTTATATATATATATATAACTAAATACATATATAGCTAAATACACTTAAAAGCTAAATTTAGGATATAGTTTTACGTAACATTATTTTTATTCCCACCATATCATTGTAAAATCCTTAATTTATGTTCATTCTACTAAAAATAAGGAATGCCTTCAATGCTAACTTTGTCAAGCCTATTTTTCTTACCTTCAATTTCTCTATTTATTTTAGACTTGATAGACATGATTTTTCTCTTTGCCAAGCCTATGTTTCTAACAACCGACAGCTCCAAATATAACGACGCTGTAAAATAACTTATAACTCTTCACTCAAATTTGAGCAGGTTATTATTACCAAAATTTTTCTATATTTTAAAACGCAATAATACTATTGATTATTTATTTTGCTTTTATTCTATTACTTACTAAACAATAAAAAGATAAAATTCATGTATTCAATTTATTTTACATCTATTTTGCGTCACATTAAACAGCTCCTTGGCAAAATTTAATACTACATCTTACAAACATAAAAGCATATGAAACAAAGTATTTATTGTCTTAATGCAACGACACATTGCGGTCTCTTCGTTAAATGTTGCCCATCCATAATCTTTTAGTTACTACTCAAGTAAATTTAAACATTTATATAAATACTCCGATGATGAATGAACACCTTTGGAAAGCTTAGCCAACTTTAACTATTCAATCCACAAAGTATTCGAAGAGATTTTCAAGAAATAGATTCATGTCGAGTATTGTGGAGCTCGATCCACTTTGCCCCTCTTGCCCGTTCTTGCACTAAGCACTCCGGTTCGTTGGTGTCCTCGGTTGGCTCACAATCGAACCTTGGAAAAGCTTCGCTTGGTGACCAAAGCTTTGCTAGCAGCGAGCAGCGGAAGGCTGGAGGGAGCGGCCGAAAATTAGGGAATGAGAAAGGAGGCACGGGCAGTGGAAATTGGAGAGGAAGAAGGAGAAGAAGGAAGTTTGATACGAGCTCTTGTAATTAAAAGCATCCATTGTTTAATTTTTTAAGTACTAAAATTTTCTACAACTCCGTAAACATAATTAATTTGCCGTACCACATAAATCTGTTTGTCTATGTGTTTCTCTCGTTTATATTTTTTTAGCTTAATTGTCAATTATTTTTCACAACAATTCAAAGATAGGCCCAGTAATTTTCTTTGTCATCTCACAAATTAATTATTTTAAAAATTTAGAAGGTGGAATGAATTTTATATTTAAGTGAAAAACATATTTTAACATTAAAAATACATGATAAAATAAAAATATCTAATATTAGAAGGGGCAGCTGATGAATGCAATTTGTAAAGAATTTATCGGAGCTAAATGATATGACACAAGATGCACTGAACCAACCAGGAGCATTTTGAAAGATGTAAGCATGTTGAATACACCTCCAACAAATTTCCATCCTCCGGCATGAATCTCAAGGCATAACATGGATCCGGAGGCAAAAAATATTCAAACATCGATAAAAAGTTATCTAAAACGCCAATTTCAGCAAACTTGTAGTCAAACTAACTAGCACAATAAGAGAACCTAATGTTATCAAAATTGGTCAAATCTGAACCAAATCATGCTCAGATCAAGCCATTAATCAGATCAAGCCATTAAACAGCTATTAAACAGCTTTTGAAAGTTTTTTGGACACATTTGGAAGGTCAAACGAATGTCTATTCTGACGAGTCTATAGTCAAACTAAGCATCTTGACAAGACGAATCCAACAAACTCAACATCATTCAATTCCGACATCATTAAGAGACTAAGTGTTTATTAAATGACGTTCAATGGAGAGAAGCCCTCCGAGCCGTGCGATCAAAGTGCTTCATTTCTGTGCATTAATTGCACTCAAAACTCTATAAATAAAGTCCCACGCCTCTCATGAGGAGGAGAAGAACTTACGTCTTGAGAAAGAACATAAAGCTTTGGGAAAAAACCGAAGTCCAACACCTCACATGCTGTCGTCGACCATCGCCAACCGTAGTCGACCAACGCCAACCGTCATCGACCATCACCCTCAACAACTACCTATCGTCGTCCGCCGCCAGCCACCGCCATCGACTTCTGTCGACCATCATCGACTATCGCCGAGCGCTATCCCCCGACAACCCCCGACCGCCGTCTACCACTACTATGGCCGTCGACCACTCCTATAGTCGTCGACTACCGTCGACCGCAGTCGGCCACTGTCGACCATCTTTCACATCCGTCGACCGTCATTGACAACCATCAACCGCCTTCGAGAACTCCTGCCCTCGTCGACCACCGTCGATCGTCGTCAACCATCACCGGTCGGACGCCGCCCATCGCTATCAGTTGCCACCCGTCGACATTGTAATTTGGAAAACAAAGTAATATTTTCTCGTATGTGAGATAAGTGATTATAATTGTAATCATTTTTTTATAGTAGAACTCTTCAGCGATGTCAGTGGATTTTCCATTTATGTGTTTTACATATAAAATTTTCTGATGTCATTATTAGTTGTTTTCTCTTTCTTGAGTTTGTGTTGAATCCTTATATCATGCTAAGAAGATAATTTACTATACGCATCACTGCTTTTACTGTTATGATATTTTGCGTGAGAAAATTTCCGGATTGACTTGGCAGCTATTTTTATCATGAAAAGAGAATCGATGACCTCTCTAAGAAACTTACTCTGATGAATGACTAGCTTATATTTTTTTTTATTTAAAGATCCTAAGATTTTTATTATAATATAATTTTACACGTTGTATTCTAGCTATTAATTTATTTTTTTTTAATTTTAACCCTAAACAAAAATCCACTAAAAAATGATGATCACTTTCAGCATATTTTATTTTTAGTATATTATATTTGATATTAGGAAAAAATCGATTGGGAAAAATTTATTCCCTACTTTCAAAATGCATAATATTAATATTTAAGTTAATGCCTTTTTGGTTTTATATTTACATTTATTATTATAATAATAATAATTATTATTATCTTCTAGAAAGTTGTTGAATTGTTTAATGCTGCATAATTTTTACTATATCGATCCTTCACCTTCACTATTGTCATATTTTCAAATATTAGTCACATTAAAATAAAGAGGTTATTTTTGGAGACTTTAAAGATCTCCCCCGCCTTGTTGGTTGATTTCCACTCTTGTGCTATTTTGGGATAAATTATTATGTGCCGTCATTGTATGTTCGGACGATGGTTTGGATTGACTGCTGTGGATCGCAACGTGGTCGCATCCGGACGGTTTAGACAAACGGACGTCAAACGTGCAATCAACCACACGTAATAATTTTTTATGGAAAAATACACATCACCAAATGAAGCAGTGTCCTCTGACTCCCCATATAGCCTCCAACTTTATTATTATTTTATCATTAAATAAAAAATATATTAATATAAAGTAGAAGTAACATGTTGTATTTGAAATATTTTAGTGCTATTTGATACATGTGTAAAATAAATGAAAAATATTTTATGTTTGATTTGAAGTAAAATAAAAATAATGTAAAATACAATGACAAAAATGAGCGAGTAGTCGACATGAAGAGAATTGAAGGCGGCCGACGACTGGTAGGTAAAAGAGGTGACTGGTACCAACAACTACCAACAGGCGGTGGGTGATAGCAGTCGACAACAATGGCGAAGACGGGCAACATCGATAGGTAGTGGTATGGCCACAAAGACAGTCAATACCGATTCATAGGTTTTGAACTTCTATTCAAAAAATCCTTGCACCTCTCCTTCTTCAGCCCGAAGCTCCCCGAAGACCGGCGTTCCTCCTCACCGATCCTTGAGGAGGCAACGATAAGGTAACAAGGGTTTCTTCGAGATGAGATTTTCTTGTCGCGTACAATGTTTCTCTATTTTCCCCTTTCTTTGCACTGGCTTGACTTAACTTTGTGTTAGGTCTTCGAGATGGCTTCTCCTTTGGTTGGGAGACCCTCTATTCAGGATGTTGTGGTGAGTCAATCTAATGTTTTAGGGAATGCTTTGTTCCCTTTGATCTTTGAAGATCAGCTTGTAGATGCTTCTCAGGTTGGACTTTTGAATAAAGCATCTCGGAAAAATGGTAAGCCAGCTTTGTATTTACTTGAGGAAGACACAAATCTGTTTGTTGAGTCTTTACGATTCACTCTGATAGGTAAGTTCTCCTTTGCTCACCCTAAAATGGAATATATCAAAAAGTTTTTGGCGGATCTTAAACTTTGTGGAAATTGGAAAATTGGCTTTGTGGATGGTAGACATTTGATGATCAAGCTTGAGAAAGAGGAAGATTACACTTCTATTTTTTCTAGGAAAGTTTTATTAATTGATAATTACACTTCTATTTTTTCTAGGAAAGTTTTATTAATCGATAAAACTAATATGAAAATCTTGAAATGGACTCAAGATTTTAATCCCAAAGAAGAACCTCCAATCGTTCCTGTTTGGCTTAGGTTCCTTGGTCTTAAATTACATCTGTTTAATTTAAAAGTTCTTTACTCTTTAAGGACTATTTTTTGTACTCCTTTAAAAGTGGATAATGCTACTCTTACTTGTTCTAGACCTTCAATGGCTAGAATATTAGTTGAAATGGATGTTTTGGCACCCTTGTAATGATCAAATCTGGATCAATAGTGAGAATAATGGATACTGACATAATGTTGAAATAGAATTCGTTTCTCAATATTGTACTACTGTTGTATTTTTTGTCATAATTTTAATTCTTTCTATTTTGTGCATCCTGAATTAAGGAAACCTTCTTATAGACGTGCTCCTTTTGGGAATTTTTTTTTTGAACATGGTTTGTATATTGGGTTAACCAATAAAAAGATGTTTCCTGAAGGAATTAATACGGTAGATGTTTCTATTGACATCAATAATGATTCTATGTTATTGCTTAATGAGGCTACGGTTATGCTTGTTTTATCTGTTGCTTCTATTATGCCAATTGTGCATGATCTTTCCGATGCTCATAATTAATACGGTTGATGTTAATAATAATAATAGGATTATTAATAGATTTAAAAATTTCAATTTTGTTGCTAACTGCTGTAACAAGATTTGGTTCTTTTGGGATAAAAACATTAATGTTCAAGTTATTATTGATCATTTACAATTTCTTCATTTAAAAATTAGTTACGACAATGTTAGTTTTTTTTGCTACTATAGTATTTGTTGGCTGTTATAGTCTTCTTAGAACCAAACTCTGGAATAGCCTTTATTTTCTTAATATTTCTGATAATAGTCCTTGGGTTGTTGGAGGTGACTTTAATGTTATTCTATCTGTGGAGGAAAGTAAGGGTGGTAAGTACCCTAACAGAAATTTAATTGATAATTTCAATAATGCTTTATGTAGGGCCGGTCTTAGTGACATTGGTTTTAATGGAAATTCAGTTAATTGGCATAGAGGTAAAGTTTTTGAAAGACTTGATCATTTTTTGGTCAATAATGTTTGGTTTATTACTTTTCCTATAACTTCAGTCATCCATCTCCCTTTTGTTTGTTCTGATCATACTCCTATTTTGCTTTATGTTAAGAAATCTGATATTAAAAAAAATTATCAATTCAAATTTCTTAACATGTGGATTTTATATAATTCATTTTTTCAGTTTGTTAATGATAATTGGTATACTAATTATGTTGGTAATGCTGCTTCCAAGCTTTGGAGATTACAAAAAAACTTGGCTTTTAAACTTAGATCCTGGAAATGGAATATTTTTGGTAATTTACATACTCTTGTTCATGATGCTAAATTTAATCTCCAAAGTTTAGAAAATGATTATGCTAATGATAGAATTGATTACTCTTATGTGTGGGCTGGTCAGGAAAAATATGTAAATGTTGTTAATATGGAAGAAATTTTTTATAATTCTTTTCAGGTTAGAATGGAAATCAAAATGACATCATCTATTGTAACAAGATCATATGAGTTGCCATACGAATAATTTTAATTCATGTGATAAGAGATGTAAATACATATGATTCGAGTGGTCTATATGTAAAAATTAAAGTTTACGTGGTGTAAGCAGCTAAAAATTGGGTGGTATGCGTGTAAATGCAACAAATGTCATGTTTTTTTTTTTTTTTTTTTTGGGGGGCTTGATTTAAAGTTTTTTTAGTAGTGCAACTAGCTGTTAAATTCGAACTTTAAATGTTGAATTATTCAAATTTGGTGGCTATCAAATTTTAATATATATATATATGAAATTCGATACCACATTTAAGATTCTACTCTTGTTTTATGTTTAGCTGGAATATTAAATTTATTATAATAAAATATAAAAAAGGTGAAATATTAAATAAAAATATAAAATATGTGAAATATTAAGAGAGAGAGATTCGTTCCTGACCTACCAGTAAAGCAAAATAAATAAATAATGTATTAGCTGTAAATTAATTTGTTAAAGTAAGGACGCCGATTTTTTTTTTTGGAGCCTCATCGCTTTGCCGGAAGGAAGGCCCACCATCACGCACTCTTCCATTACCCTTGGATTATAAATCTCTCTATCACCAATTGTGCGAGTAGTACGAGAACAGCTACTCGACTGCACCTCTCTTAAAATTCCAATTCATTGCCGGCCGCTTCTGAGATCGCAGTCACCAGGCACGTCTGGCAATCCAGATCTCCGGCAGCTAATGGGGAAAGAAGAGATTGTGGTTCCAGTGATAGATCTAGCCAACTTCCCCACTGAGCTGGAGAAACTTTCTGCCGCAGCAACCAAACTGGGCTGCTTCAGGGTCATCAACCATGGCATCCCCCTGTCGCTTCTGGCCGATATGAAGGATACAACCCGATCACTGTTCCAGATCCCCGAAGACCTTAAGCTTCGCAACGTCACCCAAAACTTGTTGGAAGGCGGCTACGTTCCCCTTAACTACATACCTGAAATTCCCTTTTTCGAGTCATTCGGCATCCACGACGCCTCCTCACCAGCAGACGTTCACTCTTTCTGCTCTCTTTCCAACGCCTCGCTGCACCAACGGTATGGTCTGCTTTACATACATCTCAAAATTAAATTTTTACTCTTTTAACCAGGACGAACATTTATGCACGCATGCATGCAGCGAAATTATCACCGATTATTTCGAGAAACTCCATGCGGTAATGATGGATATAGCTTCCAGAGTAGCAGAGAGCCAGGGTTTGGTTGGCTACTCTTTCAAGGAATGGCCTTGCCACTCAAGATTAATCTCTTACAAGTTTAGTCCTGAGGATATTGGTCGTTTCGGGCTTCCCGTTCACACCGACTCTTGTTTTATGACCGTTTTGCAAGATGATGACAGCGTTGAGGGGCTCGAGATCATGGATACTAACGGCAACTTTATCTCCATCGATCCTGTTCCTGGAACCCTCTGCGTCATCATAGGCGACGTCGGAAAGGTAATCATTACTTTCTTTCCGTTTCAATAATTTATGTGTTATGTCGTAAAATTGCACGGCTTGACAAATTGATTAATTTAATTATATGGATAACTGTGAAGGCTTGGAGCAATGGAAGACTGCAAAATGTGAAGCACAGGGTGGTGTGCAAGAAAGCCTTGCCACGAATCACCATCTCTCTGTTTCTGCTGGCACCTAAAGACGACAACATAGAGGCTGAACCCGCGTTTATTGATGCTGATCACCCCAAGCTTTACCAGAACTATATTTATAGTGAATACCGCATGAAGTGCATGGTAACGGGTCTTAGGGCGGGTGAGATCCTATCCCTTCTGCAACCATAGATATCGATTCAATCCTCGCATCCATGTCTACCCCTTCTACCCCGGGAACCAAATATGTTATTTTTTTTTTTTTTTTTATATTTAACTTTTATGTGTGTGTGCGAGTGTGAGCTTCTGGTTGGGTATTGTTGTGCTATTCTCTGCCTTGTAAGATTGTTATTATTTGTTTTGAATTAGAACCCATCAAAAGAAATATTTAATGATATTGTTAAAAGATTTTGATGTGTTCTGCAAATGAAGTTTAATTTATTAAACTAAACTTATAGAAAAAAAAAATAATACACTTATAATAAAAGCTTTTCTCATATAATAATATTTTTTCCTCACCAATTGCTTGGTTTAGAGTTAAAAATAATTGTTCTACGTACGCGCATATATTAATGCATTCAATAGCTGTATACATCCCCCCAATAAAGCCTTACATGAAAATGAGTTTTTCACTTTGAAAAGACAAGTGGTTGAATCCTAATTTGTCTATTAATCACATCCAAAGAATAGTCATTTCTCATAAAATGATCCACCTATTTGTAAATGAAAACTTTTTCGTCCGACTGAAATGAGTCAAGCTGTCGGTTGGTGTTTGATGGTCCTCTGGTCGGTTATACTAAACTAAGGCCCTGTTTGGCACAGCTTTTTCATCGACGGTGGCGTTTTCAGAACGCCGCCTACCCGTTTGTTTCGAGCGTTCGTTCGGCGGCGTTCTGAACGCTGCGTCCCGCGGTTCGGTTTTTCTTCATTATGCGGATCGCGGGGCGCCTCCTGCGTTCGGCGTTGGCTGTTGGCGTTAGGGCTGCAATTCCTTCTTTTGCCCTTGGTGATCTCCCTCGCGCTCTCCCCTCGCTTCCTCCCTCTCCGAACGAAAGCATCATTAGGGCTCGATTTCTCGTTCTTTTTCCCTCTCCGGTAAGATCTGGATTCGTGAGTTTTATGGATCGATGAATTTTTTTTGGTTCTTCTACATGTACCTGCTTCTATTGCTTCGGATCTCTGAGTTTTGCGAGTGATTGTTTGGTAGTTAACATATTCTTCTAAAACTTCTCTTGATTTGGCATCTGTCTCACAAAGAACTTCCATTACTGGGAAACGTCTTACAAAAAAATTGTTTACATTATCCGTTGCATCTCTATTGAATGCTACAATATGGATTTGGGAAAGGAGTATCTTTATTACATGCTACAATTCGGCCATTCTTTTCTTCATCTCTACCCGATTTCTGTTGGTTCAAATCAGATTATGCATATGACCTTGACATTATGGATTATGCATATCACATTGCAAGCATGACATATGGTAACATCAAATTATTGCTTAGTCGTCTATACATATGATTAGTCAAAAAACTATTGCTTCTGAAATATGAAAATAGTAAGATTACTCATATCACCAGGCAAAATATCATTAGAGAAGCAATTGCCAGAACATTTCTCCATATCGAAGATGTTTCAAATTTTTAAAAACCTGAGACAATTTTTCTGATATGGGGAATGTATGAACAACAAACGAATGCTTCTAGATGCCTTTGAAATTTCAGCAAATATGTAAAGAATCAAGTGGTATGTATGTAGATATTCAAATTTCTGTAACAAGTGTATGACCATATAATATCATCCATATGTTCTCCTCAAAATCTGAGACACAATGCTCAATAGAATTATTCCAAATGGTTTCAGTGAATGGCATTAAATTCAGCAAGTGAATTGATTTCAGCCAATAACTATGTTCTAAGCCAATAACTCTGTTATATGGATCTTGCTTGCCTCTTACTGCTAGCCACTTCATTATTAATTGACACTAGTCACACATCTTGGCATTCAAATGAGATTTACAGTGACATTTCTCCATATCGAAGATGTTTCAAATTTTTAAAAACCTGAGACATTTTTTCTGATATGGGGAATGTATGAACAACAAACGAATGCTTCTAGATGCCTTTGAAATTTCAGCAAATATGTAAAGAATCAAGTGGTATGTATGTAGATATTCAAATTTCTGTAACAAGTGTATGACCATATAATATCATCCATATGTTCTCCTCAAAATCTGAGACACAATGCTCATTAGAATTATTCCAAATGGTTTCAGTTAATGGCATTAAATTCAGCAAGTGAATTGATTTCAGCCAATAACTATGTTTTCAGCCAATAACTCTGTTATATGGATCTTGCTTGCCTCTTACTGCTAGCCACTTCATTATTAATTGACACTAGTCACATATCTTGGCATTCAAATGAGATTTACAGTGAAATTTCTCCATATCTAAGATGTTTCAAATTTTTAAAAACCTGATACATATTTTCTGAAATGGGGAATGTATGAACAACAAACGAATGCTTCTACATGCCTTTGAAGTTTCAGCAAATATGTAAAGAATCAAGTGGTATGTATGTAGATATTCAAATTTCTGTAACAAGTGTATGACCATATAATATCATCCATATGTTCTCCTCAAAATCTGAGACACAATGCTCATTAGAATTATTCCAAATGGTTTCAGTTAATGGCATTAAATTCAGCAAGTGAATTGATTTCAGCCAATAACTATGTTTTCAGCCAATAACTCTGTTATATGGATCTTGCTTGCCTCTTACTGCTAGCCACTTCATTATTAATTGACACTAGTCACATATCTTGGCATTCAAATGAGATTTACAGTGACATTTCTCCATATCGAAGATGTTTCAAATTTTTAAAAAATCTGAGACATTTTTTCTGATATGGGGAATGTATGAACAACAAACGAATGCTTCTACATGCCTTTGAAGTTTCAGCAAATATGTAAAGAATCAAGTGGTATGTATGTAGATATTCAAATTTCTGTAACAAGTGTATGACCATATAATATCATCCATATGTTCTCCTCAAAATCTGAGACACAATGCTCATTAGAATTATTCCAAATGGTTTCAGTTAATGGCATTAAATTCAGCAAGTGAATTGATTTCAGCCAATAACTATGTTTTCAGCCAATAACTCTGTTATATGGATCTTGCTTGCCTCTTACTGCTAGCCACTTCATTATTAATTGACACTAGTCACATATCTTGGCATTCAAATGAGATTTACAGTGACATTTCTCCATATCGAAGATGTTTCAAATTTTTAAAAAATCTGAGACATTTTTTCTGATATGGGGAATGTATGAACAACAAACGAATGCTTCTACATGCCTTTGAAGTTTCAGCAAATATGTAAAGAATCAAGTGGTATGTATGTAAATATTCAAATTTCTGTAACAAGTGGTATAGCAGTTTTCATGTTTCTGGAACACCTCATTTCCATCCTACACAATGAAAGTAATATATCCATCCTACACAATGAAAGTAATATATCCATCCTACACAATGAAAGTAATATATCCATCCTACACAATGAAAGTAATATATCCATCCTACACAATGAAAGTAATATATCCATCCTACACAATGAAAGTAATATATCCATCCTACACAATGAAAGTAATATATCCATCCTACACAATGAAAGTAATATATCCATCCTACACAATGAAAGTAATATATCCATCCTACACAATGAAAGTAATACACCTCATGTACCTGAAACAACATATGGTAACATCAAATTA